GGAGTGTTTTCGAGTAAACAAAACATGAAGGAGCTTAATGAATGATTTACACTCATTATATTATGTCATTAATTTCATGATTTTGCTATCTTGGACAGTATTTTAGAAGTGCTAACAAGTGATTTTGGTGTTGTTTTATGATTGATGGAAGTGGAGAAAACAAGAGCTAAAAGAGGTCAAAGGAAGGAAATAGGCAAAAGCTAGCGAAATTGCATGAAATGACCAAAACGTAAGAGATCCAAAGTTCGAGGATTAAAATGTAATTAATTAAAAGTTGTGTCGAAACTTGAAATGAAGATCCGAGAGTTCTAGAAGCCAATTGGATGAAGGAAGGTGTCAAAAGAATCAAATTTAGTCAAGATATGATCATAAATCATTTTCCAATATAAAAAATTTTTGCCCTGGAGTTTTGGTCTCACATTTAGACTCATTTTTTACATAGAAAAAGATCAAATTGGAGAATGATTCCTGAAGCAAAATTGTAGTCCTTTGAATTAGCTTTCCAAAGCATCTTGAATCACTTCAATCGAATATCGAACGAAAAAGTTATTACAAAAATATTGAAAACTGTCTAGTACAACCAAAGTAGTCCTCAGAGCCCAGACGCTATCCCTCAGCGCCTAGGCGCCCAAATCGCAGCGCCCAGGCGCCACCGTGCGAGAGTAATTTTTATTAGATTTTTATCATTCTTTTTCGGCCCAACTCATCTCCAAATCTTTCCCTAAACTCCAAGACATTATAAACACAGAATTGAAGACCTAAAGGAGAGAAGAGCCGCACGCTAAAAATCCATGGGATCAAGCCACGCGTTCTTGACATATTGGAGAGAAGACAACAAGAAGGGAGATTGAAAAGAGAAATTCAAGAAGATTAACACCAAGCAATTGAAGATTAGAAGCATTCATTGGAAGAGGAAGGAGATCTTGATACAAGAATTCTACTTTTTCTTCTACATTTTTATTACAAATCCGGTGACGTATTCTAAGATAATTTCCTATTTTTCTTCCATTATTATGAGTAGTTAAATTTGATTTTAGGGCGAACAATATAATCTTTTGGAATCCTTTATTTCATGCAATTGAGATTCTAGTGCTTTTATATTTTATGTGTTGATTTTAATATTGTTCTTAATACATTTAATTACTTGATCACTAATTAGATGATTTGTGAACAATGATTGCGTAGAGATGCAGATTATTTGTTTAGACCACATGTTAAAATCCGGTAAATTGATATAACGTGTAGAGATACCTATATTGATTGCAGTGGCCGTGTGTAAATTCTTAGAACTAATGTTTCGTTTAATTAAATTTAATTTGTATAGAGATATGTAATTAAACTAATTAAATAGGTTCAATGAGAACTCGAGAGGGGTAAGTTGAATATAATAGAAGAATTCGATCGAACATTACCTTAGGTTTTATGAATCTCGATTTATGAAGTAAAGGTGATCAATAGGTGAAATTGTTCCGTCCTAACGTCCATTTATTGTTTGAATTCTCAATCACTTTTCGTTGCATCCAATCGCATTTTTAAGTATTTAGAATAAAAATCACATTTAATCATTGTTTTTGTTTATTTTCGTCTTAAAAGTACAGTCCTCGTGGGAACGATAGTCTGGACTCAAAATGTCCACTTTATTACTTGTTACGATCCGTTTACTTACGGGATAAAATCGACAACAGAGCCTGAATTAATGAGATATTTGCATTGACATAATTTGTTGGATAACTTGATCTAAAAATTTACGGTATTAAATATGATTAAATTTATGTTATTTAAATATTATCTTGAACCCATAACCTTTAGCTGCTCTAATAATCTAACAGTTTAAGCTATTAATTATAATCAAATGCATATCATTTAAATATTAACTTTAACATATTTTTATCACAAGCAAACAATTTTAAGAGGTATTGTTTTGAATAAAAACGAAAAGAAAAGAAAAAAAAGAAAAAAGAGGAATGTGATATACTTCGGCTTCTTTTTTTTTTTTTTTTTTTTTTTTTTTTTTTTTTTTTTTTTTTGTTTTTGTTTAGTGAGAAATATGTCATACCAAGTGGACGTAACTTTTGCATTGAGCCAATAGAAACATGCGATTTTGTGCTTATTATTGTCTCAAATTTAGGAATTAAGGTCTAATTCAAGCCCCTCCCAAACACCATAGGCTATTCAAGCCCTTGTTTGGTAACCTTTAATTTTTATTTATTTTTAATTATATTTTGAATAGTATTTTTTAGAAAACGTGTACTTAAAAAGTAGGAAAATATTTTGAATTTACGTGTAGAATATTTTATTGTGTGATTAAGTATGAGAAATAAATTTAATGTGAAGGGAATCAAATAGGGTTTTAAATTATAAATGATATGTACATGTTAGGATATACATAGTAAGAATATAAAATCCTTTTTTATTGCATTTGCTAATGATACCCCTTTATCATTTATGGAATGTCTTCGAAAAATTCCCACATGAATGGGATTAAGTTGATCTACCAAAGTTGTTAAAATGATTAAGAATATTGAAAATAGACAGCTATGAATAAATTTGAATTTGGCTGCATTGAAGTACAAATTGGCCCCGTTTGGTACTAATTTTTTTCAAAATGTATTTCTCTGTCATTTTTTTTCAACAATACATTCTTTATTAAAATAATATTACACATAAATAAAAAAAAATTCTTATTTTTCAACCACACATTTTTCATTAATTTATTATTCAAAAATATATTTTTACATAAAAATATCTCCCAAACACAGTGAGTACGTCAATAAAGCAATAATGAAAACAACGGTGTTCGATGGGTTTAGTAAATATAGCTATATTATAAAATTTATGTTGGCTGGTCCAAAATTTATAGATAATATTATTCAAAAATCAATCGTGATCTGATTTTTCTCGGTTAATGAAATTTCGCCAAGTTCATCTAAAGAATGTAATATGAATTTTTCGAAACCCTTTAACTAAATTAGAAAGCGATACATCATTTATGTCCTTGTATGTAAATTAAGGAAATTGGTATACCTTTTTGCCTTGCACTAGAGTCTTAAGCGAAGCATGCGTAGTCTTATGCACGGTGTACGAGTAATTAAAGTAGTCACATGAATTAATATTATCGTGATATTAGGCATAATATACACACTGGTATTATCAGTCGAGAATAAGATTAAATTTTTTATTATTAACATAACATCTTTTTATAGTATAACACCAAATTAAAGGATTTGTATGACATGTAGAAAGAGTACATTAATAGGTTTGTTAATGGATATGTCTTGACACGCCTACTTTGTTGTACATCGAAATGCCATCGAATGTACCTAAAGGGTCCAAGCCAGGGTGGATGATTTATTACATATGTCAATTGTCATAATAAACACAACGAAGATGTTCATACATTGAACACGTTGTCAGGTTCTCATCAAAAGAAAAAATATATATCGCTCATTTTCCTGCTTGTTCATTAGTTAAGGGTGTGTTTGAACTAAGTTTTTGCATAGAATACGTTTTATAATAGTGAGTTTTTGAGAATGTGGTTAAAAAATAGAGAAAATATTGTTGAAAAAAATGAGTAAACGACTCACTTTTGGCAATATTTTAGGTGGGATCCGTAGAATTTTCGAAAACTGCCAAAACTCCCACAAATTGAAGCAACTCCACTGTTTATTGTTATGAAGTTAATAGACAGATTTAAAACTTACATTAAGTCTCATTTCCAACAATTCAACCATGACAATACACACCTTATTACAATCCATGAAAATATACGGTCCACATATTTTTGTTGTCCGCATACCTAAACTGTTGCAATTTTGGCGTCGTCGTTGTGGTGATATAGTTCAGACCCTAAATCCGTTCGTCGGAGTAGTTTCTGCGGTACTCAGATTCTACAAGTTTTATTGCTGTATCATGGGAAACAGACGTTCGAATTAAACCTCAAGTACTTATGGTGAGGAGGCAAATCTGTTTTAAGGAAACTGTGTTCACACAAGCCTTGAGTTGAAAATTTATTTATTTTTTGCAACTAACATATTTATTTATTTAGCGATTTACATATTTGCATTTTAATCTTATACTTCGTAGATTTTTTTAGTTTATTTTGTTATATGTGCTTCATATAATTTTACAGTTTATTATCTGTATGTCGAAAAAAATCTGAAGAAAGTTAATTAATTTAATACATTCGGTTTGGTAGTTGTCCAACCGGTATTTATTTAAATAATATATGCAAATACGGTATTTCTACATTTTGGTGTACGTAAGTGCATATCTAATATGTTAGTTGTATGTACAGTATCTACCAAATATGTGTAAATACTATATATGAAATGAAATAAAAATAGTTTGTAAAAATTTTGTGCAAATACGGTGAGCTTTCTACAAATACAGTAGGCATATATATGATAAGTTGCAAATATGGTAGGCTGCAAATACAGTAAACTGCATATACGGTAAACTGCAAATACGATAAGCTGCATATACGGTAAGCTACCTACAAATACGGTAAGCGACATATACGACATGCTTAAAATTTATATCTAAACTACATATACGGTATGTGATAATTCGATTTCATCACCACCGCTATATTTCCAACAAATATTTGGATTTAATTGTAAAATTATTTAATTAAGAGAATGCATAGTTGAAAATGAATTGAATGAAAAATTAGTTTAAAACGAGGCTAAAAATCAAGATAAATTGCACACTACAAGTGAAAACACAAGTCCCATTCCGACCTTAGATATGTGGAATTGTTCTGGTCTAACTCGATTTTAGACTAGTATGTATGTGTGTGTACATATATATATATATATACACTTAGATAATTTTTTACGAGCCTTTTCAAAAATAATTATAAAAAAAATTTAATAGAGCAAGTGATTATTGATAAAAATTCTGTATAATCACGAATTATATTACCGTAGGTGATATGACGGAATTAGATAATTCTTGATTATTTCGATTGACACTAAAAATATTATTATGACAAACTTTTGCCAATAAATACTGACGCCAATATATTTGACAATAATCAAAGGTACATAAGACATCTGTCGAATATATGAATATAAAAATGAGTCGAAAAAAATTAAGTATGTAAGTAATATAATGAACAAAGACTAAAGACCTTCAATCATCCTAATATTAACAGCACTTTTTGGATTGAGTCAGGTCTTCCAGTACTTCTAACCACGAAATAATATAAAAATGTAACAAAATGTATGTACTTGTTTGATAGGAATTTTGATAATTGATTTTTTGACCGTTAGAAATAAAGTGAGTCTTATCTGTAAGAGAAGAATTCAAAAATGACAGTTGAAATAGTAAAATAATGATCAAAAAATTGATTTTAATTAGATTAATAACTATACCAAATATATGTTGACATCTCTTAAGACATTTACGTTATCTGGATCGTGTGTTGTGTATTACTCTACTTATGCATCCACCGGTCAGAATATATGCATTCAAGTGTATCTGACAATAATCATTCGCCGAGAGAGCAAAACAGACCAGAGAAAGCAAGAAATCGAAGGGAAAAACAAATTACAAAAAAATTCATACATAAGTTATAATTCATTAAACTTCCATAAGTTATAATTCATTAAACTTCCACTAATCAAATGAGTATTGTTATTCATAGTGAGGACTACCGGTAGTTGTCTTACGTAGCATTTATATGATGGTTAATTATTCGATGCATGGAATAATAAAAAACTACCAAATTAATACAGTAAATAATAAACTGTCACATGCATGCAAGATGATCCTCACTCAAAATAAACTTACATTCAATTACTCGATGTGGGACGAAATATAACCCAACTATTGGAAATACTACAAGAATATGGCTACAATTCCAATACAAAAGCCAAGAAAGAAACATGAACAGGTATGCAATGGCAGCATACGGATATCAAATGTAGAGGATAAATTTGTTAAAACCAATCAAACATGTATAAGCAGATATAAAATCTCACGACATCATCTCAACATAAACAAATCTGAAAATTGTGATGTACATATAGCATAGTCGAAATAACAAACGTGGTAAGACTAAGAAGTTGATATCTACGGGGCAAAATATGTAACTACAAATATCAAAGCGAGGAAAAAATATCATCGTATAGCTACTATAATGCAAGCATTTTGGAGTAATTTGTTCGAGATACCACCTTATGTAAAAGATTGAGCAACTGAAGATGTAGTAACCAAACCCGAAAGAAGGCCAACAATGACTGCACTGTTGTATGTGCTTGGTTCGGTCTGCATTGAATTGTTCCTTGAATCAATAAACGACTCGTTGCGAAAAGGTCCACCAACTAGTGCTCCGATTGCAACATTTGGATTCGGTTTATCTGACTTGAGCCACCTGAAACCATCTCTGCAGCCAGTTGTTGCATCTACTGGAATTGAGGCTCCCCTGTGATGCACATACTGTGGGTACTTGTCCCCGTAGCCCACGAGATAACTCATCTTCAAGGGGTTGTTACCTAATACATAGTCGGCCTGAAACAAAGTGATAACAATCATATATAAGAACTGGAGCATGTGAGCTCCACAGGGACAAGAGATCCGGTTACACAGGACGGTAAATGCTCAATTCTGGTGTAAATATTTTTTATTTTAAAAGTTTATTATGATTAACCAAACTTGGACTTCTGATAATGAGTATTCGCAAAGTTTACTAAGTGATTTCTTGAGTTCATCCCCAGCTCTAACTGTTGTAATTTAAAGCTTTCTACTATCAATTAACAATTACTTTTACATTCAGTCGTCCTTTCTTTAAAGAAATCATTATTGCTTTCGACTTTGCAATTGTCGCAATTGCAAGATTACTGTAAATAAGTGGAATCCCTGAAGTCGTCTTGCAATGAGAATGCATATCGCACGGTGCCTTTTGAAAGGCGTCCCTAGTCATCAGGTTTTAGTTTTTGGTGAAGATAAAAATGTACCTGTGACAAGGCAAACTTCCGCAGGTCCGATGGCCTATAGTTATTTCCATCACAAGATATCTTTGCGGTACGAGATGAAAGCATGTAATCACTGTATACAACGGCTAAAAATGCAGATGCCACAGGATGCTGCAGAGCATTCCAGTCACTGATCCATATCAAACCGTCTGCATTAACAAACCGCACGTGAGCAAAACTTGAAATGAATGAACATGCAGAAAGAACTCAACTTGTTAATGTTGTGCGAACAATATTGAAGACAAGCAATGGGTCAAAAGTCAGGAAACTGAATAATGAATGTAAAAACCTAATGATGTTCGGTAAGTAGTACTAGAGGAGATTCGAGTGTACTACGAACAAGATTTTAACTTTTTTCTTCTTTAAAAATATCCAGTCATGTTCAGTCATGTCCATACTACGTATTAAAATGCATTAAGTATTAAAGCATCAGAAGGAATATTACTGTCAGTTCTACTAGTTGTAGCAGTTGGAGATTTTGGTAGGAGGCCGCACATGACAGCCTCTGCCGATTTCCTGTACTTTTGGAGGACATTGGAGCTTGAAACATCTTTTGACCCAAAGAAGTTAACCCTGGACAGAAGAACCTGCAGCAAAGCATTGGATTACTCTCTCAATCCACGAGCCAACAACTTAATACAATTCGAGGATAAAATATTTAGAATATTTAAGTTACAGAATATTATGCCATGTATATTAACATCAATGATTGTAAGACAGGCCGATATAGCCTAATAAGTGAATAAAATTTCACAAAAAAATAAATAAATAAAATTAAATGACATGTTTGATACACTAGACTCGACCACACCGGATTGGATTAAATAAGAAATATACGTTAAAATCTTCTTCGATATAACATTGCAATGTTGACCAATACCGATTATCAAACACACCGTAAGCGTTTTTCTTACACCGTAAGCATTTTTCTTGTGCCTAAAATTGCTATTGATGTAAAGAATTTTACGGAAGTAAACTCTTGAGAAATATACGTTAAAATGTACCTTGCAACTGGAACCATGGAGTATTTAGTTCTCTAAAAGAAGCCAATTAGCTCAAAATAAATCGTTCATACTATAAATAAATAACAAATTAATTAACTTCAAATCCAATAAAAAAAATTCTATATCCAAATGCAATTTAAGGGCTTAATTTAAATATTCTCCAAAGAGGTGAAAATCAATTTCTTGAAAGAACAAAAAGTACCTGAGTTCCAGCCAGCTTGTTATCCCAGCTAAACCATGTAGGACTTCCCCAATTGGCAAAGTCTTCACCATTTTTTCCAGTCACGTATTCAAAATATGATCGCTCCCCAGTTGCATGATAAAGCCAACTAGCTGCCCACAAGAGCTCATCCCCATAGCCTGTAGAGTTGTAGAAGTTTTGCACATCGGGAATGCTAACGCTATAAGATTTTCTATATTTGTCAGCAAAAGTGAACAGTTGTTTAGAATGCTTCAGAAGCAGGCTTGAATATTCAGAGTCAGTCGATTTAAACACCAGGGATGCCGCTGCCATAGCTGCCGCAGTTTCTGCAGCAACCTCAGTACCCGGGGCAGAAGTGTTCAGCTGCGTGAGTGGTCTTTCCCCAGTCATGGTCTCAGGCCTGTCCCAACAAGCATGGTCGGCTTTAGGATCGCCCACCTGCCAACATTTGAAATTGTGAAAGAAAACAATTTAGAAATATTTGATCAACTAAAAGAAAGAACATACAAAAAAACAAATTTCTATGCTAAATGGCATTTGCCAAGCTCTGTATCAATGTAAAGAGCATACATATTAGTTCCGTAATTATTAGATAAAGAAAAACATTTTTCGCTAACATGTTTTAAGTAGAGATTGGTATAAATTAGTGTGTGTTTGAAAGAGCTTTTCCAAACACTAAAAGAGCTTCCTGGAGGTCAAAAGCACTTTTGCTTAAAATGTTGACTGTTTGGTTAAAGTCAAAAGTAGTTCTTAAAATAAAAAAAAAAAAAAAAAAATGGCTGAAAAATGCTGTTTTAGCTAAATTATGATTTCTCTAAGAAAAAAAAAACTCCAATTGAGCGTTTAAGGAAACTGTAATTTAAAAATTAAAAAAATACACATTAATATCTCAGAAAAAAGCTTTCTAACTTATCTAACCCAATTAAATAAATACAAAGATTATACATAAACACTTTTATGGTCATACTACCAAACAATTTTAAAACCCATATTTGCTAAAACTCATTTTCAACCACACATTTAATGGCATCCACAACTTTTATCAATTTTTCAACCACACGTCAAAATCTCCTAAAGTCTGGTTTTTAGCTAAACCCAACATGGGCCTAATATTCACGACACTTTTTTGAAACCCAACATGGGCTTAATATTCACGACGCTTTTTTGAATTCACAACCAAGCATTGAAAAGCTTTTTAATAAAAGCTCCACTACTAAAAAAAAAAAAAAAACACTTCTTCTAAAAAGCTCTTATTCACAACCTTTGGGCCAAATGGACCCCTAATGCCATTTTATTTAGGTGTCTTCACATGAATTTTAAGCAAAAGAAGCACGAACAATGACACACTATACGAGACATGGACATGCCAACACATAAGGACGTGGACACGTAGGCTACAAGTCAATCTAGGAGGTGAATAACTTTGAATTAGAGTGGCTACTTGTTGTATAATGATAACTTTGGGTAAACTATATATTACTGCTATACAAAAGATAATGCATATAATAGATATCTAACAATTTTGATAGGAAATTAGTAAAATCTTTCTCACAAGGATCATTAATAGGCTCTTAATCAATGGTTGGAGGTCAGAAAAGAAAATTAGAGTAACCTGAATGTAAAGGACATTTTCCGAAGGATGAGCATTTATGAGGTAGTCGGTGATCCACTTAAGCGAGTCCTGAGCAGGTTCCAATTGATTCACCACTTTCATTTGATCCCCATACTCCAAGATGGTCCACGACAATACTGTGGCCGTGAAAGCCATCGGGAATCCAAACTTAATGTGATCTCCAGCATCATACATACCTTTCGAAAGATCTAACCTTGCTTCACTTCCGTCTTTCAGAGCAGAATCACCTCTCCAAGATATCTTATTATTCACCAACTTCCCGGCTGCAACATAAAATAGCAAGTTCCCAACACCAAATTCAAAATGGAAAGTATTACTTCAAATAGAAATCTAACAATATGAACTTCCGTTTCTTAATGATCACAGATTACAACATTATTGCAAATAATCCCTTTTTTGAACATTTTAAAGAAATTAATCAAGAAAGTAACAATTAATGACCTATAAGTACAATTCAATACAGATATTCAAACATTGAAGTAATAACAGCATAATTACCACAAGGCATCTAAAAATAACTAAGAAAATTCGAACTAATTAATTAAGATAACTAAAAAACACGGGCTACATAATTACAAAACAGAACCATAATAATTAAAATTAAAAAATAAAAGGACCAAGAACATGTTTGGCTAATTAAGCTTAGAAAGAATTAAGTTACCTTAAAAAAACTTATAGTTTCTAAACACGTTTTAAATATGTTAATTTTTTGTTATTTTTAGTTAAGAAAAGTATTTGATTTTGAAACAGTCAAAGCAACTCACTCACTTATTTTGAACTTTAATCAACAAAAAAATAATTTATTTTATTTTTCTTATAAGTAAACCTTTTAAGCGAATCTAAACATGATCTAAATGAAGTATTCAAGAGTACAGTAATGTATCAAAATAGTAACTACTGCAGCCAAAAGATGACAAAAACATCATTACACACGGGTCTAATCAGATCACAAGTTCAATTTAAAAGGAAAAATAACAGAGAATGAGAGACTGACTAGACCTTTCTGTATCTCCAAGAACTGCATAGCAGTTTTGAGAGCGTCGGCATATTTCTGCGTAACCGCACCGGGAGGCCCCGGAACTGGAGCGGCTTCAAAATCTGATCCATTCTTGTGCATTTTCTGCTTTACAGTTAATGCAATTGCAATTGCAATTACTGCTACTACTATCAACACAATAAACCACCCAAACCATCCTCCTCTTGACCCCGATTTCTCTCCCATTCTTATGAAGAATAAAGAAATTTTCTTGCAAATGTAGAAATAGGTGGAATAAGGGTCTTAATTGCTGGATCTGAACATGCAAAACGAAATGGTCCGCACGGAAAAATGCGAGGCAAATTACAAGGTTTTGATCTTTGTTTGGAATTCTTTGTACACGGAATGGAGTTTTTAAGAGTGATTCGAAGGCAATGTGGGAAAGGGGTCTGGAGAAATTGGGGCTTGAAGGGAGAAAATGGTTGGTTTAATGGAGTCGATGGATCTCGACAGTTGGGTTCTTGCAAGGCAGAATCTCTCACCGACAGTTCCTATGACGATGATGTTTGTCCTAGTTTCTCTCTCGGGGGTTTAGCATCCTGGCGGAATGACGAGAATGCCCATGGTAGTTGTGATAGATTTTTTCTTAGGTTGAGAGGTGATTCTCAAAAGGAATCTCAAAATAGAATTTTGCAATTTGTACACTGATTTTTAATATTGTGATTGACATTTGCATTGTTGTCAAATAGAAATTGAATGAAAAAATTGTTTAAAATTTAGCCTATCCAATAAAATAATGACTTGTGATAAAGTGTAAATTAAAATGTACTCCATAGTGTACATGTAGTAAGGTTCCCCAAAATAATACAATACACTTTATTTTTAGTTGTGAATTGTGATTAACACTGGCTGACAGTGGCCTCTATTTTATTTATAATAAAATAATGTTATCTAACATTATTGGTACTATAAAATCAAATTGATGAATTATATTATTTATAGTGAGAACCATTGATAATCGTTCTACATAATAATTTGTTATTTGATACATTAATATGATAGTTTTTGATAATCCTTCTACATGACAATTTGTTATTTGATGCATTAATATGATAGTTTTCGTCTCATACATAAAATAACAAACTATCACATATATGTCACGTATGACAAATATTAATAATCTTTACTATGAATAGCATTACTTATAACTGATATAGTCAATGAAAGATAGAATAAAATTATTTATTTAATTATACATATTATTTAATATCATATTAGTGTTATCTAGATTGAAATTTTAACACCAGTGATGCTAAATAACATTACTCTTTCTAGAATTGGACAAAACTTCAAAGCAAAATCGAATCGGACCGGACCAGACCAGATCGAACCAATTCGAATGGTTCTTCTTAAGTTAAATACCCAAATATGTATCAAAATCGAGAGTCGAAGATTTTGGTTCGACTCTTAGTTCTAAACTAAGATCCAAAAAATCAAATCTCTCCAATTTTTTTATTAAATAAGTTAAATTATTTTAATTTTTTAAAATTAATTTGCCAACTAATTACTTGAGCCCGAAAATATGATTTTCCTATTTTATTTAATTGAGCCAAAATATCATTTTCATGTTTTCACATCAAGCTCAACTTTACCCCTGTTTAGTGGCCATTTTTTTCAAGAAAAATAGTTTTAAATAGTATCTTTTAGAAGAATATATGATCAAAAGTATGAAAAATTTTGGATTTACGTATGGAATATTTTATTGTATGATTGTGGTTTAAAATGGACATGTAGAAAAAGAGTTTTAAAAATATAGGAATCAAACAAGGGCTTTGTAATTCAAATTTCAAAGAATCAAAGTTAGGTGACCTAAGTTTTTCTCAATCATTCTGCAATTTATCAAATAATCGAAGCTGGGCAACTGTTTCTCTCTTCATCTTACCTTCATTTTTTCCAACCCTATTCATTGAAGTTCCTCCACTTTGATCAATATAAGCTTCATCTCACTCATTTTTAATAATTTCTCATGCTCAATATATGAATAATATAATTTATAACTAGTGTTCAAGATATTTATTGTGAGTTCCTGCATTTTCATGTTTTCCTTTCTCTCAGTAGCTATCTTCCTTGTCGTGCTCTTTATTTTCACCCTTTTATTAGTGAATATTTTCACATTTCTTTTCGTATGTTTTCTATATTGAACATGTCATTAGTTGGATTAATATAATATTGTTGTAAATATTAAAAAAAATTAATTATAATATAGAATCGAATGGAATTGAACTGAACAAAACTGGTTTCATAATTAAATTTAGATCAAAGGGTTCAACTTACTAAATACTAGAAAATTTTGATTCAGTTTGATTCTATTTAAATCAGAATCGAATCGAATCAGATCATGTCTTATTCAGTTTGATTGTATTTTAATTAACTTTTTTCTTATAACTCTTTGCTATTTGTGATTACTAGTAATAACCTTTCGTCTTAGTGATGTTGATACCTCAAATTTATTAATCAATGCATTGAGAGCTCGTGATGCATTGGACAATGAATTAGAAACATTCATAACAACCATTGATTATAAATATTAATCTTCTCAAGATAATTCACAAGATTAACTTCTCCTTGTATGATGATAATATGATTTTTAAACACGTCGGACTTGACCAACTCAAACATAGACTCAAATGTCAATCAATGTGAAATTTTGCTTGAATCTATTAAACTATTGAGATTACAGTTGGGGACAGTGTCATAACTATCTATTATGATTTTATTTATTTTTTAATTATCTTATGTAAAAGATTATTGTTCATCAATTATTATCCTCCAATGGACCCTCGCACTCATTGAACTCGCAATAAGAATCAAGAATTGTTTAGAGTAACTATGAATTCAAACATATCGACTCAACATGTTCTCAAACTTGAATCGATTTGTATTTTTAGTAGTCAATTAAAATAGTTCTAAAAACTGCATTTCCATTTTGTCGATATATAGTAGTATTTCTCGAAAAAGTTGTCTCATAAAATATATTTTAGTATATCTATAATGTTAGATTTAATTATCAATAAATATGATTAATTATGTGAATTGTTTTAATACTCTATTTGAAATAGGTTAGAAATAAATTATAGTGACGGGTGAACTAAAGTAAATTAAACATTAGGCCTTCGATTGTAACTGCTAATAAAATGATTGGGTTGTTGAGTAGAGTGGAATGGAAGATTTTAATTATTGCACTAAAGGGGGTATTTTGAATTGGGAAAATAGGAATGGATGTCACATATTTAATTATATAAAACTACCCAGATGTCAAAACGTCGATATGTCCGAGTGGTTAAGGAGACAGACTTGAAATCTGTTGGGCTACGCCCGCGCAGGTTCGAACCCTGCTGTCGACGAACTTTTTAAAATTGTACTGTGGCTTTAGTCTTTGTTTAGTTAATCAGTTTTAAGTCTTTTCTTTCTTAAATTTTCAGTTTTGATAAGTAGAGAGTAGAGAAGAAGATGAACAGTATCTTTTTATTTTTTTATTCCTTCTTTTTTCCTCTTTCTTGTTTTATTTACTTGCTAGTTTTGGACTATGGTTGATTCTAATATTAGTTTAACAGTATCTAAATTTTAAATTTTGTATGGGCAGACCAATCATCATTCATTGGAATCGAAATATCTACAGGATCAAAGTCACAATTTACATCGATTTATGAAATCGAGTCATTTAGTTCCATATTAACAATGAGAGACATTGCATTCAATATAAACAAAAGTTCCATAAATGACTGAAACAAGCACATTAAAAATTCAATTTATTTTGAGTTATTGGTTCGAGTCTTAGAATGATTATACTATCCAAAACCATTTAAATATCAAATTGAATCAATCTATTTGATACTTTTGCCCATAACACAAAAACTTGTTCAAATGTCAAACTATTTTTCACTTTTTTCGGATTAAATTGGCGGATTCGATCTAGGTTTGGTTTCGGTGTTTCCTTTTCTTGACTATTTTTGGCATGATGTCACTGACAGTGATACACTATTTTCTCTTTCTTGCTAGTTTTGGACTAAATTGGTTGATTCTAAGATTATTTCAACAGTCAATAAAATTTTAAATTTTGTATGCACGGACCAAATAAAAAATCAATGATAATTTTATAAATTGAACTTGTTCGAAATGTAATTATGAAATCGAGTCATCGAATTCCATATTAATAATGAGAGACATTGCATTAAAATATAAACTAAAGTTCCATAAATGATCGAAACAAGCACGTTAAAAATTCAATTTATTTTGAGTTATTGCGAGTCTTAGAATGATTGTAATATCCAAAACCATTTAAATGTGAAATTGAATCAATCGATTTGATACTTTTGTCCACCACACACAAAAACTTGTTCAAATGTCAAACTGTTCGACACTTTTTTGAATTAAACTGGTGGATTCAATCTAGGTTTGGTTTCGATACGTAATGGATCAACAATTACCCAATAGAAGTCCAAATCCGTAGTGATTTGTGAGTCACAAAGTTCGAAAGTGGCACTGGAAAATGTCCATGGAAAGCAGTTTCCAAGCGTTGCCGCTATGGCACTAATGGGAAAGGCCATGACCAGTTTTCAACCATGTGAACTTCAAAACAGGTTTGTGGTTTGGAACACCCGGGCATTGTGAAGACACTAGAGCAGACTAGCTGAAACCAATGCTTGGTTCGAAAAGTTTTCATCAAATGGTGCCTACGAAGGTGGGAGCAATATTTAAGTGAAACACTCGAGTCTCGAGCCTGTGTTTCAGTAGTGAGCGTTCCATTTCTTTTGCGTTTGGCTTTATGTAATTTTCTGTGTCGTAATTTTATTTCGATTTTGCTCTTTAATGGAAGTTCTAGACAACCCTTTGTTTCATGAATAGGCCATTCAATTTATTTTGAGTTATTGATAATTACTTGCTAATTTCATGAACAGGACAACTACTCTTGTCTGATTGTCTGCAGAAGCTTTGTGCAATGGCAATTTCAAATTTTTGCCGAATCACTCATGGTATGATCTTCTACATTTTAGGTCTTCCCGTTCCGTCATCTGACTTATGTTCTTCATGTAGCATTCAGACCGAATGAGTCTATGAAATTACGTCGATACTTTCACATATTATGGGTAACGTAGGAAACATCTCTATTTTTCCCCTGGAGAATCTTTAGAATTTCCACTGCTTAGCTTTCAATTCGCCTCTGACCATCAAATGAAATGCGAATAACCCGTAGAAATATTACAGCCATGTTGTTATAAGTGGCAATGGAACCAAGCCGCCACCCCTTTTTTTTTTTGTACGCAAATAACATATGGGCTGTAAGAGACTTACCATTGAATTGAAATACTAGACTTAACAAAGCTTGTAAATTTGTGAGTGAAACTATTGTAGCAACCGAAGTGGAACAACCAAATTCTGCCTTCCACTGTGGTTACTACAAGAGAGCATGATAAACTGGGCCATAGGATTACCACTCTAGAATTAAAATAATTGGCTCAAGGAGAAGAACTAGTACCAACAATCTAAAGTGTCCAACAAGCCCAAATAATTAAGGGAAAAATTCATAAACCGTGTATTAGTTATGTACAATTCAAAAATCAACTCTTAAGTTTAACTAACGCAAAAATCAGGATTTTATCTAATTAATTAAAAATATTTATTAATTAAATATAATAAGGTCACAATTATACAATTAGTGGTCACATATACACAATTATAAGTCACAAATTTATTCACTGGTCACATATCATCAAATTAATTGATCACATATTATTTCGAGATCACAAATCAAAATTTTAATAGATCACAAATTATTTCGAAGTCACATATCACAATTTATTTATCGATTTTATAGGTCATAAATCCAAAAATTTATAGGTCACAGATTATATATTTTCAAATGGTCATAGATGACTGTTAGTCACAAAATAATTGAATTTTAAAGTCACGGACTAATAGTATAATTGGTCACACGCACCAAACACCCAAATCGATCGTCAACAGCCACCACCAGATCCGCCACATTCAAAACCAAAACACAAATCCGATTTTAGATCTAAACAACTATTTGTCCCAAACTACCCAAAAAACCCCAAAAGTAGATAACAAAGAAACTGTAAGAAGCAGCAGATTTAGCACTAAATAGCTGTAGCAGATCTTCCCCAAATTCCTCGTCATTCTACACCAGAACATCACCGCTCACACTTTCAACAAATCGTTCCCCGATTTCCTTGCCATTCAGCACTAGATCGCGACCTAATTCTGGCGGCATCGCACTACAACAACCTATACAACATGATCAGAACCCAACTTCGACGAAAAGCTAGAAAAAAGTGAGAAGTCGAACGTTTCTATAATTAAACCATCGGCAAATTAGTAAACCAACTGGTGTGTTGTGGAAATTGGAGGGGGGGAAGGGGGGGGGGGGGGGAGAGAGAGGATAGGTTTGACTTTTGAGGGAAGCCTAAAAAATTCTTGCTGCGGGTGTGTTTGAGGTTGTGGGATATTATTTATAATTCCACAATATGTTCTTATTAATATTTAAATATAAATTTATCACTTGATTTTTGCACAAACAAACCTTCAACCTGATTTTTTAATTATGATCTTTAAATGTCTGTAAGGGTGTAATTTCCACTAAAATATAATTAGAAGAAACATGGACAAGAGAAAATAAATATCTAAGCCCAATTCAACAAATCTAAAACGAGAGCCCAAAATATTCTTAAAACTTCCGACCTCCCATGGAGTCTGTAAAGTAGGCCTAGGTTGCTAATGTACTCGACAACCTAAATAAAGGAATCCAAGAAGAGTTGTGTAAAATTAAGCCCTTGTTTGAGCCACGTTATTGGAATGCAAATGTATTTTTGAATAGTGTATTGATGAAAAATATGTGGTTAATAAATAAGGAAAAGTGTTGAATTTGTGTATAATATTATTTTATTGAAAAATGTGTGATATAGATAATGTCAAATAATTGTTGAAAAATGTATTTTTTTGAAAAAATGTGGCGAAGATCTAAATCTTTTTAAGAAAAATGAAATGAAATGAAATGAAGTACATAAAAGCTAGCAAAAGTACAAATAGCCTATTAAAATTACCTGCTAACAAACAGTCATTGTACTACCTGTGGTGCTACTTGTACAATGTGTACTTACAATGTGCTCTTACAATGTGATGTGGCAAGGGAAGACAAGACAAATTGATTGACCAAGTAAATAATTTCAGATTTGCTACAGGAATTGAAAGTAGCAGGAAGGCTTTTTTCTTCTCTCTCATACACAATTTCAGACATTTATTTGCACCGACAGCTACGAAAATTTCTCCTCCACATTGTACGCCGTTGTCGGAGACGATCCATCCCCGACTATTGCAAGTGACGCTTCCAGCGTGGCTCCACCATTTAGATTGCTCCTTCTTCTTTACAAAAACAGTGTACACAAAAAATACCCAAAAATTCTCGCCCACATTCTACGACACCGGTGGAGACTCGCCTTCTCGATGCCGTCTCACCCAACCTGAGACCACCATCTACAGGTGCATGCCATCATTTTCCCCAACAATAAAGCAAATTTACTGAACAAAGCAAGCAACTGCGATTGACGTATTGTAGAAATTCGGGTTGAGCTCAACATTGTATTTCTCCTTCAAGTCCAAAGAGCTCAACCACTGGTGGGTACAACCTCAAAACCTAGTTCTATATCATATATAAGAAAAAATAAAGATTATACTTATCATTAAGTTTGATATTATCACTTGATAATGTTAAATCTCTTACATTGATGTTAAATCCCTCATTTTAACAATTGTTCCTGCCATTGTTGATATGTTCCAATGTGTTATTATGTTGACATCAATTTATTGGCTGCTCCGATAAAATATTTTTGTTCTCTGATATTAATGTTATGCATCAGTCTTGGAATTGTGGAGTGGTTAATTTTTGTTGAATGAGGACATTTAATTTGGACGCAGGAGAAGAAATTATGAAAGTAGTAGAAGACAAGTCAAGATTGGAATTCGAAAATGCGAATGTGGAAGATAATATGAGCTTATGTGTGGATGAAACGAGAGGAGAAGAAGATGTGATTGTGCCTGAGGTGGGTATGAAGTTCAACGACGAAAATGAAGTTTATGATTTCTACAAGAGATATGCTTACGAGGTTGGTTTCCCAGTCAGGAAAAGGAATTCGAAGAAAGATGACAATGGAGTTCTGCAGAGTATAACTTTGACATGTAGTCGTGAAAGACGACGAAACAGTTCCACAAGCGGTTCTTTGAAGCCGCAAGCAACAATTCAAACAGGTTGTAAAGCCAAGATCTCTGCAGCTTTTGATTATCATGGTTTCTGTGTAATTAGAAAAGTAGATCTCGACCACAATCATAAGATGAGTCCTTCGAAGTTGAGGTTGTATCGATGCAATCGAGAAATAAGCGCACATGTGAAACGAAAGATTGAAGTAAACGACATGGCAGGAATTCCATTGCACAAGAGTTTTAACTCTGCAGTTGTTAAAGTAGGTGGTTTTGAGAATCTCACTTGTGTGGAAAAGGATTGTAGGAACTATATCGAAAAAGTGAGGCGATTAAAACTTAGGGAGGGAGATGCCGCAACAATACAATCTTACTTTTCTAAAATGCAAGCACAGTGCTCGAGATTTTACTTCAGTATTGATTTGGACGAAGAATTACGGTTGAAAAATGTATTTTGGGTCAACAATAGGTTTCCTCAAGCATATAAAGAGTTCGGTGATGTTGTCACATTTGATACTACGTATCTCACTAATAAATACGACATGTCGTTTGCTCCATTTGTTGGTGTGAATCACCACGGTCAGTCAACACTACTCGGTTGTGGTTTGTTATCAAATGAGAACACAGATACCTTTGTATGGTTGTTTAGGATGTGGCTTAAGTACATGCACAGTCGAGCTCCGCATGGAATAATAACCGACCAAGATAAGGCCATGCAAAATGCAATACAAATAGTTTTTCCTAATACGAAGCATATATGGTGTTTATAGCACATTCTAAAAAAGTTACCAGAAAAGTCTGGTTACCATATAGATAAGGGTTCGATATTTTCGGCTATACACGTGTTGGTGTATTATTCGCAGACTGTCGAAGAATTTGAGGGTGGTTGGAAAACAATGATAGAGGAATATGAGTTGCAAGATAATGAATGGTTGTCGGGTATTTATGACAATAGAGGATGATGGGTTCCTTGCTTTTTGAAAACAACATTTTGGGCCAGAATGTCGACGACACAACGATCTGAGAGTATGAATGCTTTTTTCGATGGATATGTGCATTCGAAAATGTCGCTGAAGCAATTCGTGGAACAGTATGAACACGCACTTCGAAATAAGGTGGAGAAGGAGTTCCAAGCTGATTTCAGGTCATTCGCTCAAATGGTTCCATGCGCAACTAGGTAAGAAATTGAGAAGCAATTCCAGGCAGTATACATAATATTAAAATTTAGGGAAGTGAAAGCTGAGTTCACGGGGAAGGTATATTGTGACATTGTATCTTCTGTGAATGGTTGTTTGAGGACGACGTACGAGGTACATGACGATGTGCTATGCGGCGATCGACGGAGGAGAAAAACATTTGCAGTCTTATTTGAGAGAGAGAACTATGAAATTGTATGTAGCTGTCACTTGTTTGTGTTTCAAGGAATTATTTGTAGGTATACGATCGCAGTACTCATCTGCAACGGCGTTACTGTACTCCAGGATACTTATATACTACGGAGATGGAGGAGGGATGTCAGTAGAGCACACACCAGGGTCGCTGTTAACTACGCTGGGCTGGTAAGCACTCCTGGACAGTTGCGGTATGATAGAATGTGTCAGGCATTCGCTACCATAGCGGACCTAGCCGCAGAAGACGAAGCCTGGACCCATGCGATAATGGAATGGATTGGAGTTCAAGAGAAAGAACTTACGAGTTCAAGGTCGAGCATCTGAAGCAATGTCCAATCGCAGTGCACTATTCTAGTATCCTCAAATTTCACAAGTTCACAACAAAGTGCAAGTTGCCCCATATTGGATCCTAAAGCTGTGAAAAAGTAGGGTGCGCCCAAGAAACTTCAGAGAAAGGGTCCGTTGGAGTCGACTTCAAAGAAACCAAAGGTAAGTTGACGTGTTATGTTCCCAAATAAAACTGATTCCTAACATTATGTCTCATTCATTCGATTGTAAATGCAGGCTCCATCAACATCATCGAAGCCGAAAATACCAATTGAAAGGTGTACTTGTCCACCAGACGGTGCATCGTCCATTCAGCCACGTGAAGAACAACAATCTTCCACGCACATACCATTCTCCTATTCACATATATTGTTGGTTAGTAATTTTAAACCGTCCTATTCATATGTTTAAAGTTTAATTTGCGCTTTCTTATGATGTTGTAGGGTGACCATGAACCAAGTATTTGGACAACAGTCCCCGACTTCTACATCGATGCATCTGTCGTCAACCCATCCAATATTCAATTCTCAAGGTACGATTTTATATTAAACTACGCTCCTTTTGTAGGTCATGCACATCCTTACTACTATCCTCATTTACCGCGTCATGGTGGCAACGAGTTTTGATCCATAATGCATTGAGGAAGCGTCTTTTGACAACATCGATCTTTTAACAATCGGCATTATTTCATCTGTTTAAGTTTGAATGGGTGCTTTATTTTCAATAAATTCTTACGCGTTGGTGTATGATTGGGTTGTGAGATCTTGATGTACCTTTTGGGTTTTATTATGGCAAGATTTGAAATTTTGAATTATGCATTTGAAGTTGATTTTGGGCTTTAGTTCTTGCAAGTTTGGTTTGATATTTTTGTTATGCTTTTCGTGTTACAAATTTATTTAGCCATAACAATTTATTTTTAAAATACGATTTGTAATAAATTTATCTAGGTTTGGTTAATGATGAGGTTCGAGCTTGACAAGTGTGTATAATATAAGTGTTAGTTGGGGGCTGATTTGGGTTGTTAAAGATGGCCAATCCGTTGATTAAGTTATGGAAGCTAGTGAATTTAATTATCAAGGGCCATGCATGCAGGGATAAATCAGTTTGGAGGCTAATTTTGACTGAACTATAATATATATATATATATATACAGTGGTGGCTGAAAATTAGATAATTAAAATTTTGGAATGGAGGACAAAATAGGTTGGATCAGGGGACAAAAGACACTGGATCAGTTTTTGTCACCAATGAAATTGCAACTGAAGCAAGCTGGAGCAAACAAGGAAGAAACAGTCCAGCACGGCTACCATGTGACAGCACTGCCTTAAGATGCATGCGGTTGCACACATGCATACCGAAAATTACAAGGCTGGAATCATGAGAACCATGCGACTACATATAAAACAACAATGCGTTCGTGTTTCCTTTTTCGCGTAGTGTTTTAATTTGGATGAAATTCTTGCTTGGTAACTTTAATATTTCTAGGACTTTTATTTCCATTTTTTTTATCATATTCTAGAATTTTATTTCCTTTTTAAATTAGGTTTTAATTAATTTCCTTGTTTAGTATAAATAGTCTACTTACCGCCACGTTGCCGATTATTTCAAGACAATGCCATGATAAATCTACTACATTCATAAGTTGTACCTTACCCACATAAACAACAGACTGTCACGTTCCTTACAAATAAACAACAGATTGGCATGATAAATCTACAACATTGATTTTCCTTCCACATAAACAACAGATTTGACCTAACTAAATAGGGCTGGACATGGTCCGGTCGACCCGAAATTTTAGGATATTTAGTAAGTGAAACCGTCGGGTCCAAATTTAATTATAGAACCGTTTGGGTTCGGTTCCATTCGGTTTGGTTCGGTCCGGTTTGGTTCCATTCGGTTCCGTATTATAATTAAATTTTTTAATATATACAAAGTTTCATTAATTTAATTAATGATATGTTCAATCACGTTTCGACAATCACGTTTCGAATGGCTTCGCTGTCTTCAAATTTGGGGAGAAAATGGAGGTTGGGTTTTTCCCTTTTCTTTCAGCTTTTGGTAAGAAATTGAATAGAGGGAGAAATCACGTGCTCTCACTGTCTCTTATTCAGCCTTTTGAATTCTTTGTCTGTCTGAATTCTTTGTCCTTTTGTCATTTTCTTCCTTTTTTGCCCCTTGCCACGTCACATTGTAAGCCAACCTTGTAAACCCACATTGTACAAATAGCTTTTTTCTTGTACTACTGAAAGGGACAAGCTAAGAGATTAGAAAAGGACACCTTATAGGCTGCTAAATATGTCGTAGCCCTCAAAATCGAAAACCATGGCAATGAAAACTACTTCGAGACAAAATAGTCGGTGATGGTTGGTGGTCTTTGAGTAACGGAGGCCTTAAACACACTGTGATGGCTTTTATGGTGGGCAGCGGCTGTAGGAGACTGTTGGTAGACAATGTTTTCCTTCGATGGTTGTCGCTGCATTCGGTCACTTCATCGAGCACTTTTTCTACAACTAATGCAATAAGATAATTTTTGCTCTCCATAATCCTTTGCAAAAGCTCAAAATTTCAGAATCCAATCTTGACAGCCATTTTGGTGTTGGGTTGTTCCCCTCATTTTGATTTGTCAGAGAAACCAAAAATTGGTGGTTTCTTAAAAATTCCTTATTTCTAGGAGATTTTTAGTAACCATTTTTCTTCTTCTTTGGTGGCTGACACTGATTTTTGGTAGAGAATACTGGCCTGAAAATTTTCATTTCTTCGGTCAATTTTTCCCTTTTTAGGGAAAACTCATTTCTAGTTTCATTTTGCTCCAAGATCCGATTTTTGCTTCCAAAGAGGTTTATCCGTTCTCTTCCCAGTAGAATAGTTTCCTTCATTTCTTGAGGGTGTTTTCAACTTCACAATTGGGATGACTCGTTAAAAAACTAGTTGGAAGAATGCTCCAAGCTGCCAAAAATATTTTTGCTTCATTGACCATTTTCATGGCTAATCTCGTCAATGGAAAATTTTCATTTTTCCCATTTTGTTTGCTGTAACCATTTTCATCGTGAGTTTGTTCAGCCCATTTCCTTTGTTTTTGGTGGCTGAATTTGCTGTTTTTAGTAGAAACTAACCGAAAAATTCTTCATTTCTTGGTGATCCTTTGTATTTGGTAGAACATGGTTAAAGTACTATTCCCATAGACGACATCAATTTGTTGACCCCAAAAATTGTGCCAACCGAATCTTGACCTCACCTTCTCCACCTCGACCTCCCTTTGTGTGAAATGAAACCAAACATATATAGAAAATGGAAATGAGCCTCGTGAGCTAATGTGCGAGGCCGAAGTTCCAAACCCAATATGCAATTGTTTAATTAAAATAAATCCAATTAATTAATTAATTAGTCGATGCCATCTCGGTCGATGTAGGACTCCCTCCGTCATGCGCATGCTATGTAATTTAGGATATAACAAGTACCATTTTTCTTTAAAACCCCCGAAACAAAGGAAATTGTTGGGAATCTACTTATACATGCACAGCGAAAAATTAAATTATTTCGATTCCCATCCAATAGATCTCATTGTGTTTGGTTAGGAATTGTGATAGGATTGTACCTTTTCCAGATCTGCAATCCTTTTGCTTTTCTTTTCGTTCCACAACTTTGATTCGCCACCACAGCTGTCCAATTGTCCAGCCTCCAACGGTGATCCACACAGAGAATATGATTGCAGCCTCTAGGGTTTTCTCTTGTGCCAGCAAGAATAATGAAAACCTTATTCGACCTCAAACCCTAGTTATGTATTTATATAAACCCAAATAGGCTCGGCCCGGTCCGGTCCAATAATTAATTAATCCAATTAATTAAACCCGGTCCGTGAATTAATTAATCCAATTAATTAATTCGAAAATATAAATAACAAATCCAATTAATTAATTTATCCAACGATTGTTAAATTAACTAATTTGCAATTTGCAATCTTCCAATTCTCTTTTGTGTGTGACCCATTAGGTTCCCGACCACGATGCCTAACGACGTGAAATATTATTTTGATCTAATCAAAATTGATAAATTAAAACACCCTTTTAATTTATCGTCAATTCACATTCGCCGTCCCTGATTGACATCTAGTAATGTGTCAGGGCAATACATGTGACGGGAAATGTCACGTGGTATGACAAAATCAAATTCGTTCGTTTACCGTGAAACTATAATCCTTTCGTCAATATGATCCGATCAATTACGAGATATGGAATTATGTC